TGAAAAAAAGGCATGTTTTTAAGAATTTTTTTTGGCGATACAGATAGTGTTAGTTTATTCAATCAATTTCCATATAATAATGCAACATTTGAACAATATTTTCCTAAATTTTCATTGCAAAATATTGAAAATTGAGCAAGTGACAGTGAATCTCCGGAGGCGCCAGACTTAGAGGACTCTAGCCAGACTCTCCCTTCTAGGGACTCTACATGCGATCAGCAGATCAGCTGATACCGCCGTCTGGCCCATGGATCTAAGAATCAATAGATCCATGGTCTGGCCCATAGAACTTACGTCTGGCCTAGAGTCCTAGATTATCAGAGAAGCGCGACCGGTGTTACGAGTCCTGATTGGACACGCAAATGGCCAATCATAAGATTGATTTATCGCTATTATAAATGGCTGCCGAATAAATCAAACTTATGATTGGCCATTCGACGCCATTTTTAATATTTTTTAGTACTTTTGCGATACTGCCATAAGCCGGTCGCGCTTCTCTGATAATCTAGGACTCTAGTCTGGCCCGGCTGATCGACGAAAACCGCGAGCGCCTCGTCTTGGGGAGTACGTGAATTAGTTCGAACGAGCTTCCAGCTCACAATCAGCCAATGCTCCAGAGTGAACGCGGCAACGAATATAAACATTATAAACGCGATATGGATGTAGAATTTTTCTAACAATAAGAATTAGAAAACAATAAGAGTAAATTAAGCCGAGATTAAAGTTAAACTACATCGATAGAAAAGAACAACAGTAAACAAACGCGGTGGTGTATTAAACAAAGCAACAAAGCGGTAATAAAATTGTGTAATATTACGGTGCCGATTCCAAATAAGTTGGCTACAATCTCTTTAGATAAAAAAAACATACATATATATATATATATATATATATATGTATATATATGTACATACATATGTATATATAAATATATATATATACACACATATATATATATAAAAATCTATTTTAAAAATATATTTTACTCTGATCTAGAATCTACAGCAAATTGCATTGTTTTGGGATATTTTTTACAATAATATAGATTCAACAATCTTAAAAATGAAATATATTATTTATACACGGAATAATTCAAACAAAAATTGATACAGCTGATAAAGCTATAGCAACAGAATTTTATTTATTATTTTCATTTTTAATCCTTTTCCTGTCAATTGAACTTTTGTTGACTGTACAGAAACTGTCCTCAATCCAATACTTGGACAATAATCTGCACATCCCAATATGACATACAACGAAAAAATCATTTTTGTTGAAAAAATTAAAATTAAATAATTTTTTGCTCACCACGTCAGTAGGATTCCAATCGACACGTGCCCATTCCACGTGTACATCGTTACACTTGAACAGTCTCTCAGGCCTTAATTTTCGCCTCGCTAGAGCCGCGTTCCGATGCGATTTGAAGGAGACAATTGCGTAGGCAGCATCGTGACTTGGAAATCGGTAAGTAGATACGTATTCGATGTCCCATGCCGATGCATAAATCACCTAATTGCATAACAAAATATAAATTAACACATTTTCAGAATAAGAATTAATAAAATATAGAATACGTGTATTTATTTATAAATTACGAAGTTATGGAATAATACATTCAGTGGAAAAAAAAAGAATATAAACAAGGAATAAAAATTTCAGCGAAATATTTTGCAAAGCAATTTTTATATCTTGGAGATTATAAAAAAATGTGCAAATGCAGAAAACGTCAATTATTTGTAAATTTAAAGCTATTATATATATTTAGAATTCGCATAAAATTTCAGAATAGAATTCTATTTTATAAAATTGCCATTTATTTCAATATTGTTTATTTTATTGTATATATTTCAATGCACATATATATAGGTATACGTATGTTATAATTTTTTTAATGCTTTTATTATTACATAGAATATCTAGTATTACATAGACTTATAGTTAATTTATAAATTTATTATAATTCATGTCAGATCACTCAGATGGAATTCTAATTATAATTTCATGTTCCATATAATACTGAAAGCATTTAAAAAATTAAGACATACGTATACAAATATATATGCGCATTGAAAAATATACAATAAACAATATTGAAATAAATGGCATACAAAGTAGAATTCTAATTAATAAATTAACTATAATCCATGTCAAATAGAATAGAATTCTAAATATAATTTCATGTTCCATATAATACTAAAGCATTTAAAAATTGAAACATACGTATATAAATATATATGCGCATTGAAAAATATACAATAAACAATATTGAAATAAATGGCATACAAAGTAGAATTCTAATTAATAAATTAATAAAGTATTATATGGAACATGTTCTATATAATACTAATGCATTTAAAAATTGAAACATACGTATACAAATATATATGCGCATTGAAAAATATACAACAAACAATATTGAAATAAATGGCATACAAAGTAGAATTCTAATTAATAAATTAACTATAATCCATGTCAGATGGAATAGAATTCTAAATATAATTTCATGTTCCATATAATACTAAAGCATTTAAAAATTGAAACATACGTATACAAATATATATGCGCATTGAAAAATATACAATAAACAATATTGAAATAAATGGCATACAAAGTAGAATTCTAATTAATAAATTAACTATAATCCATATCAAATGGAATAGAATTCTAAATATAATTTCATGTTCCATATAATACTAAAGTATTTAAAAATTAAAACATACGTATACAAATATATATGCGCATTGAAAAATACACAATAAATATTGAAATAAATAGCATATAAAATTAATAGAAATATAATTCTATTCTGAAAGACGCGAATTCTAAATCCACCGGTTCAAAATAGGCTTTATATGCTTTTCTTTGCAATTTGCACTTTTTTACAACTTCTAAAAATATAAAAAATATTGCTTTGAAAAGTAGGTTTCACTGAAATTTTTACTTCTCGTTTATGTTCTTTCTTTTTATAGACTATATATTATTCTGTAAAGAATAAGCAAACGTAGCTCTACCCTGACAACTTCTTCCGAGGCGATATTATACGGTAGCGGGCCGACGTAGAGCTTGCACTTGTTCACGCTCGCCAAGACGTGTATCTTTCTGCCCGGCGAGATCTCGTACAGGTCCAGCTGGACGATAGCACGCGCCGCGTTCTCCGGATTTGTGTACATGATAAAGCAGTAGCCCCTCGTCAGCCCGGTCATGTCGACCATCAAGCGGATCTGGAAGACCTCGCCGACCGTCTTGAACAACGGGTACAGAGTGTCCTCGTAGGTCGTCTTCGGGATCCCGCCGACGAAGATCTCGCAGTCTATACCGGGAGTCGGCCCGCTCCAACGCATCGGCTGGAGGCTGAGAATCCTCTGCCCATTGATCTGCGTGGAGATCAGCTTGTACTCGTGCAGAAGCCGAAGGACGTTCCTATGTGTTTGCAATTGCCGACGTAGGGCGGGACACATGAGCGAGGACTTAAGCTTCTCACTTCCTGTAAACGTTATCGAATATACAAATATTAGTGATTACTTAATAAGATCATTAGAAAAAGATATTGGCTTTTATATTAAACAAATATTTGTTTTGCCGAGATCTGGAGAATTACATTAATTTAGGCAATAGGTATGTGCAACATAATCTTAGAAATTAACAATGCTGTATTATTTTGATTGAAAGCAATGAAAAAAATTAATTTTTTCGATACTATCGCAATTATATTTATATTAAAATTTATATAGATATCGGAGACTTTTATAATTAATATAAAGAAATAACAGATATGAAAGAAATGAGGGTAAATTAATGACAATTTTTTTTCCATAATCATAAATTTAATTAAAATAATGAAACGACTTGTACAATATATGGAATAGATGATTCATCTACTTTATGCGGTACGATATACTAATAATAAATACTGTGTCACTGTATCCATGAGAAGACACCTTTCGACTGATGCACACTATTGTGTTTATACGTGAATTACTATTAAACTGATTTTACATTAGTTGTATCGCAGCGTTGCAAACGCTGCGATCTAGTTGTGATCAACATCATCGAGCTAGCTCGACATTGATTAAATCGCATCGTTTGCGACGCTGCGTTGCGATTGCCGGCGCAGAAAGATAATCGTAATTAACGGTTTCCGGCAAAGTAAATGTAAATCGTAGTCGTAAGTCAACGCATAATAATTTTCCGTAAACGTGTGTCGTATCATTGTGACGTTACAGAAACGACTGATACGACATATACATAAAATCATCGTGCGTTGACCTACGACTACGATTTACGTTTACGAACTCTGCCGGAAACCGTTACGATTATCTTTCCGCGTAGGCCCTATAACGTAGAATCAGCTTTACAGAAGAGAGGCACTACATTTCGATCAGAGTCTACATATAATGAAAAATACTTTATATAAGAGAAGAAAAAAACAGAGCCGAAAATATGAAAACAGTGTGTAATCGTACATCAAAAATATATTCGATATACGTCTTATTGTTAGACAGAAGCGAATCCATATACATATATATATATATATATATATATATATATATATCTATATTCATTAATATGTAGCTCATTTGTCAATTTCCTTTATCGACAGAATCTCAATGTTATGAATAAATGAAGATGACAGAGTACATGTAGGGCAAGTATCTAATTCATGAAGTTCAATTTGGACAC